TCTTTTTGCAGCTCGTTCTGACTGTCTTTCAGAAGCTCTGTCAAGGTTCGGACCTGCAGCTCCAGCTCGCCCACTTTCGTCTCCACAGGGTCCCATCGCGCGTTGCTTCCGTTTCGGTCCGCGCGGTTGGAGGACAGCGGACGGTTTTTGATGTGGCGTGCTCTAGAAGCAAACTGCAGCACGCTCAGGGTTTCGGTGACGTTGCGCTCCGACGGGCTCACGCACGCGATCATCAGCGTGTGAGCCCGTCCTCCCAACGAATCCCGGAGCAGACGCGTGAGCTTGGAGTCTCTGTAGGGCACGTGCTTGGGGTTGGGCTTCGGGTCGGTCAGCACGCGGATGACGTTTCCGAGCGCGAGTAATCCTGTGTTGATGTGCACGGATTCTCTGAGGCGCAGGCCCGTGTTGCCGGTTTTGTCGGCGCGCTCGGACCCGGCCAAGTCGACGAGGTGGAGTTTTGACGTGCGCTTGAACCGTTCTGAGGTGGTCGGGTCTTGGACGCTCTGGTGCAGCTGGAGCGTGATGATGGCGTGCGAGCGGCTGGACAGGTCGTTCACGCCGGTGGGGCTCGTGTGGCGGAGGGCGTTTCCAGTGGCGAGGGCGCTGAGGATCTCTTCAGCCGAAAACACCTGCTGCTCTATGGCCCCGACTACAACTGTGGACACAAACGGGGGAAACGGAGCAGGTTAACGATGAGTTCAGAGAAGTTCATTGTTCATGGTTAGAGAACATTTTACTGAGAGCCTCTCCACAGATCTGACCGGCAGAGGTGGGACCAAGTCTGTGTTTTGCCAGTCTCAAGTCTTTGACCTCAAGTCCGAGTCAAGTCCCAAGTCAAATACAGGCAAGTCCAAGTCGAGTCTCGAGTCACTGGCCCATCAGTCCAAGTCAAGTCCAAGTCGTCTGCTTTGAGCTTCAAGTCATTTCAAGTCTTTAAGGGGTAGTAGTGATAAAGTGTTAGTAATCAAAATGGAAAAACAGTTATATTTGTTTCCCGTGTCACCTGCTCAGAGATAACAAACGGAAATTAGGATTTTTGCGATAATCTGATATTTACACTGTAACAGATGTTCATTACTAGGCACCGTCCCTATGAAATAAAAAAAAGATTAAAGTAAAGTACCAGTGTTTCCTCTGTTGTCCTCTCTGATGTACAGGGTCTTGTTGACGGTGGACAGCTCCAGCAGGTCCCTCAGCTCCTCCATGTACAGCTCCAGATACGAGAAGGTCAGTGTGTAGTCCACCACCTCCCGACTCCCATCCAGCAGACAGAAGAGGTCCTGGGCCACGCGATCCGTCAGACCCCCCTCCTCTGGTGGAATCACAACAACAAACGATACATAAACAACTTTATAACTCCAAATAATTGTACTGTTCTAGTCATTTACATCAAACTGCTAAACAGGACCACAGACCGCTCGCATTAATCACAGCTTCCTGAAAATGTGCTGTTTAAGACCTATATTTGCTAATGTGGGCATTGTGTTGCCATGGTAACTGCTGACCATTCCACCATAGACATATATGTAGAACATCACCACCTACTTGTCTCCATAGAGCTGTTAGTGTTTTGCCTAGAAAGTTCCAGACAGTGCGGCGTTAAACGTATCTCGCACTTACTCGTCTGCATTTATTGAAAACATACATTTATACATTGAGCGGGGTCGCCTCTCCACAGATCTGACCTGTAATTTGGCATGTTGGTGTCATCTGCTTGTCCCCGCGGAGACGGATGGATTACTTTAATAACATACTGTGGAACATCTTAGTCAAAGCCACGGCAGGTGAATTTTGTTCCATGTGTGATCGTTTTCTAACGTGAAAATGTTCCACAATATAACAACAAACCAATATAATAAATAATAGTAAAACAAACAAAATACTAACAAAACAAAATGCAAACAAAATAATAATAACAACAAACCCAGCTGTCGCCATGGAGACAAAGTGGACTCTCAAGGTCAAGTCACTGGTCAGATTAATGTTTTATTTTAGCAATTTAAAAAAATAAAATAAAATAAAAATATCTTAATTACACAAATGCAAGATAGGTTTAATGCCAGGCTGTGGAACATTCCAGACAAAACAATAACTTCTCTATGGATATGTGGACTACTTTGAACTTGTATTATCAATATGTGTTTTTGATGTGTTTTTGATTTAGGACTCTCATATTGAATAAAAATAATAAATAAATAAATAAATCCTGATTATTTAGATTAGTGTCAATGGCCCATTATTCTGCTATTATCCCAACTGAATCTGTAGTTAATTGAACAAAACCAACTGTATTTAAATTAGCAAAACAAGTGTAGTTAATTGAACAAAATTAACTACAGTTGTTTGATTGAATAAAAAAATAAAAATAAATCCTGATTATTTAGTTTAGTGCCATGGCCCATTATTCTGCTATTATCCCAACAGAATCTGTAGTTAAATTAACAGCAATAACAACTGTAGTTAACTGAACAAAAACAACTGTATTTAAATTAACAAAACAACTGTAGTAGATCTAAAATATATTGAACCAACAGTATTATTTTAACTTTTGTTCCAGCTTAATGGAGTCAGGGTTTGTTATTCCTACAATATAATAGTTGTCTGTTTTATTTATTGACTTCAAACTTCTCTGTTCACTTCAGACAATAGGTCCACTCCAAACGCACAAAAGGCAAAGGTCAATGGACACTTCTGCCCCGTGTCACCCTCTTTGTTGCCCCACTGCGAGTCAATTCAGCACCATTAGCCCCATAAACGTCCTTTGTATTTTTTTTGTTTGTTTTTTTTACTTATCAACTCACCCTGTCTCCCTCCGTTCATCGTGTAGGTCTTCCCGGATCCCGTTTGCCCGTAACAGAACACGGTCACGTTGAATCCGTCCAGCAGCGCGTCGAGAAGCGGCCGCACGCACCGCTCGTACACCGCGTCCTGGCTCGCCTCGGGTCCGAAGGCGTGGTGGAAGGGGAAGCTTCTGTTGGAGCCGAGCATCACCTGCGAAGACCCGGGCACGACGCGCACGCACACCCCGTCGCCGTGGAGCATCTCTTTGCGCAGCAGCGGGCGGATGCGCACGGCGACTTTCACACAGACGTTAGCCATTTACGCACGCGATTTACACTCACCACGCTGAGAAATATCACTACCCCGCGAGTTTAGAGCGTTGTAAATGTATAAAAATACCAAAAACGACGTGTCATCTTCGTATATTTTACATTTTAGCGTCGCAAACTCCTCTAAATTACCGTTACGCAGCGTTTATCCCGTGCGCGTCTGTCACAGTTGCTAAGGGAGAAACTTTGAACCAGCTCACGTTTGTTGTCAGTAGTCGGTTGCTATGGTAACGGAGCCGCGTTTCCCAAAAGACCCAACGAGAGTTCAAACGTAAACTGGAACTACATGTGAGAAAAAGCGACAGCGCCCCCTACCGATGCAACGCCTTATTTACAGTTTAGTACTTTTAAATGAGTTACGCCAAGAATGAAGGTGGCGTTAACTGTGTTGAATTAAATAAAAATAAAATAAAATAAATTAAAACAAAAAGGCCAGATTGTGATGTAAACATAAAAAACTAAGCTACAATTTAATTTATATTAGTATTTGTATTCAGGGGTGTCAAACATACGGCCCAGGGGCCGGATCTGGCCCTCCAAGACCTTTAATCTGGCCCTTGTCAGATTTTCTACTAAAATATCTTAATTATATTTTCTATTAAAATATTGGTAATTTTTTCTGCGTTGCTTAGCGCCAGAGCAGCACAAATGAAGACTTGTCTCTTTCCAAACGCTCTTAAAGGACGATCGTTTTGACTGTTGACCATGACACCCTCATCAGCAAAATGTCCAAAATGAGAAAAGTGGAGCCGAGTGCAGGATTTTCCAAGAAAAATTGACTTATTCCTATTTACATACAAGTTAATGTTAAAACATTGTGCTGAAATTGCCTTTTTTTTGTGCAAGTTTCAGGTTGTTCATATTACAATATTTTGTAAAGAAAGAGTTCATCAATTAAAAAAGATTTCTGTAACAGAGTAGCATTTCTCTGCACAAATATTTGAACTTATTGCCATTTTTGAGGTATACATGCCATTATTTATTTTTTTCCATAAAGATGTACAATTCACCTTTTTGTAACAGATAATACTCCCTACTACTGTACAACAACTCACCCTTATGTAACCCCATGTCAGGCATCTCCAGTAACTCTCCACCCCATTCCAAGCAGCTCCCCAAAGGATGTAGGAGTTAATATTATTACACTGTATTACACTGAATAATTCAAATCTGATCACTCACGTCTGTTATCACAGTAAATACTGTGCACTGATATATTGACTTATGGTTTATGTTTATAGTAGGGATCTTACCATATCCGACATATTGTGATATCGTCAAAGTTTTCACAATAATATCGAGGACCATCAAAATACATCAAATTGCAAGACTCTTAAATGCTTAAATTAATAGTTTTAGTGCAGCAATAGCTAAAAAGACAGAGGGAACTACATAGACCATGATCCTTTGCTCCATTTCAGTGCAGACTACAAGAAGAAATAATAGTTCTAAGCACTTTTAAGTCTTAGTTCTTTGGATTAAGTCTTGTCAGGGAATTTAAAGAGGAAAATGTAGTGTATTAACAGTTTTTTTTTTTGCCTCCACAAAATATCGCAATAAATATCGTACCCTGAGATGTATATTGTGAAAATATCGTACTAACAGATTTGGATATTGTTACATCCCCTAGTTTATAGGCATCTAAATACTCCCCATCTAAAGGTAGTTATATCGGCTCAATTTCATGCAACTTCTAAAAGGAGTAGCTCTCTGCCACTTATAGAATTTATTATCATCATTTACATTTTTTACTCTTGTATTATATTGTGATGTGTGAGCTACTGTGTCCAAATAATTTTGCATGTGGATTAATAAAGTTTGTCTAAGTTTAAGTCTAACAGCTTAAATAAAAATACAATGAAAAACAAAAATTTACACAAGAAGACAAAATATGGAAATTTCTTTATTTATAGGACAGTGCAGATTGAGTAAAGGTCCCAGATTACGTAAAACTGACAGTTGCGACTTTTACGTCATGTTATAATGTCGTTACACACCTGGAGATGTGTTGTGTTTCATTCACACATTTAATACTTATACTAACTTAGATAATACTTTGCTGCTCACATTCCCTGGGGGTGTGATGCTAACTGTAGGCACTGCTCTGTCTGAAGCTCTGTTACTGAAGTTAAACACAGTCTGACCGTAAAGAACTACAACAGGTGAGATGATTTGTGCTGTTAAACATATTTTTTCAGTTAGGCTACGTTCAGTTTTTTTTGTGAAATTCAATGTTTTTGCGAGGTCGTTCACATTTCCAATTAAATGCGACTTGTATGTGACTCCAGTGTGAACATTAAATGGCCCAAAAGTGTCCCGCATGTGCACTGGAGACACGACGACATCAACCGCAGTGAGCGTGCTCTGTGTTTACGGAAGTTGTCCAAACATGGACGCGAGCATTGAGCACCTGGCGATTTTAAAGTTTCTCTCGTACCGGAGCCAGAACATGAACAACTTACTTGTTTTAAGGAGATTGAGAAGGAGAAGGACGAGGTTTTTGGACGTGGTGTTTTGTGGGACAGCAGCAGCGACGTCCATTGAAAGGAACGTGTGGATGCGGAAACGTAGCCAAGAGTGGTGGGATAGCGATGTGCTTTGCTTCAGTGAGTTCATTAACAATTTTTGTATGACGAGAATAACGTTTGTGTACATTTGTGAGAGCCTACTTGTGCCACTCGCGGGAGGAAATACGGCCTATTTCCATGAGCAAAAGCGCTGGCGTTGGGCTGTATTGGCTTGCAACAGGTGCTTGTTACCACACAATAGCCAACCTCTTTGGCAAGTCCACCGTGTGATGATGTGTAGGTCGGATGAATGCGCCTTGGCCGTTCAGACTGAAGTCGCATGTCAAACGATCAGATATGTATCAGTTTTAGGAGCACATATCGAAGTGGCCTGGGTCGCATTTGAACAAAATCGGATCTGTGTGGTTCAGACTGTCATTAAAAGATCAGATACAGGTCACATCGGATTTGTTCACTTCAGGCTGCAGTCTGAATGTAGTTTTAGTCACTTTCAGTTTTTTGTTGAAAATCACCTCAACAGAACCATGAATGTTCAGATTCTTTACAGCCTCCTCAAAATGTGTCGTTTTAAATACATTTTTCCAGTTTTCAGACCATCTAAAAACGTTTTGGCTGGGTGTGCATTGTATCGCCACGGTAACTGATGAATGTTCCGCCATAAACATACATGTAGAACACCCCCAGCATGATGTTACGGCAAAGTATCACTAGGGATTGTAAAAAAGTAGCTTGGATGTGATTGTGTTGTGCTGTGTGGTCTTAATAGTAAATACAGCGCGTGTGGTGGATGGGGATGTGCGCCATCTGCTGGTGGTGCTGTTTGGCGTAGGGCCACAGGTAAAAGTCGATGATCACAGAGTTTATGTTGCACTTCTGTTTGTCGCGCTCCTCGACCAATCGACACAGGCGCTGTTTTATTCGCTCCACCGCCCAGATTGTACAGCCCCGGATCTCCACCTCTCTCCGGTCTCCAGACGGCAGCAGCTCACCTGGAGCAGAGAATCGAGGAGGGTAAAACAAATTAAAAAAAAATACAGATAAATAACTTCCTTCTAATTATCAGTCTGAAATTTAACCAGTGTCATACATAGATTATTTTGTAATACCAAGATAAAATATGTTTCTGTGAGATAATGAAGAAGGCATTGGAATACACTAGATGGTTTGCAAGAACCCCGGAAGCTGTAGAGTTAAGTTTGTTTAAGCTTTATTAAGACTGATTAAGATGCAGTTTAAATATACTGTCACCTCAAATTTGATATTGCAGCAATTGTTATGCACACTTTTTGTTTTTGTTTTTAAATCTAACTCATTTTATTGAGTCCAAGGTAAGCTTATTTGCATAACATGTTTCATACACAAGTAATTGGAAGTGTTTTACAGAATAAAAAAGACATAAATTATCTTAATGAAATTAACTTCAGTGTAGAATTAAAAACTTTCAGTCATATGCAGCCAGAACCATTCTGAGCCTGCAATTTAAATACAGTCAGAGCAGGGGCCTGTTTCACATCTTTGAGAAGACTCATTCATCTAAAATGACCATGGAAGAATAAGAAAGTAAAAACATGATTAATAAAAGAAACAAGTCTGCTAACTTCTGTGTTAGAAAACCACAGTGCCAACAACCAGTGGTGTAGTGGGGATTTTTTAAGTAAGGGTATGTGATTTGTGAGTGAACCAGTTGGACTAAACCAGGACTAAACCAGGACTAAACCAGGACTAAACCAGGACTAATCTTGGACTTATGAGAGAGAGCGAGAGAGAGAACCCCGAGTCTGTGGAGCTGGGTGTCAGCAAAGCACGATCAGATGATGGCTGCTCTTAGCCCCGTGGGGCGCTTTCGCCTGTGGTCACCCGACGGTCTACGCGGGCGCACCTGAAGGCTTGTCTCGACATTCAGTCCTGGTTTGGACCTGGTTTAGTCCTGGTTTAGTCCTGGTTTAGTCCTGGTTCAGTCCTGGTTCAGTCCTCGACCCTGATGTGGCAGGTCACTATAGGACAGAAGTGCAGATTTCATGAGCCTGTGCAGGTTGTTTTCAGCTCCGGTTTGACATTTAAGTTGTAGCTACTTTATATTTGTTTTTTTTTTTTATATCTCACGTCGGGAGAAGTGGGTGAACGGTGAACCCCCGCGTACCACGCCCACTACACCCCTGCCATCAACCTTGCTTCCTTCTCCTTAATTCCTCTCCTCAATTCTGCAGGAAATGGGTGAGGAAGTCCCACCCACAGAGGAGACAGACCGAGGAGAGAGGATATAAACTGAGGCCAATAAAGTTTGATTATTTGATCTGAAGCCTCCCTCAAGTTTACTCCTTCCGTACGCGGTTTTCTTTGGAACACCGCTTAATAAGACACATTTGATTGACAGCTGAAAAATGGAGGATCGAGGAGAGGAATTAAGGAGAAGGAAGCCAGGAAAGAGAACTGAGACATGGCCTGGACAGCTGCACATCGCTGCCAAATCCTACGTGTATCACCAATTAAGAAAATAAAACTGTAGAACGAAATAAGTACAGAGAACCAGTTAAAGATCGTAAAAAAACATGAACGAACCAGTAAAAATACAACTTTGAGGGAGTAAATGAGAAGGGAAACAATTACAACATGGGTAAAAGGACAGTTCAGTGGACAGTAAAAGCTCTGAAAAGTGGATTGTGCAGAATACGTCTGGTTTAAGTCATTTTCTCGACTCTCACCTCTCTTCAGAGTCTCCATGAGCTGCTCAGAGTATTTCAAAGCCCCCAGATAGACCAGAGCCTGTGGGACCCTGTAGTCTGCGAACATGGTGAGAGAGTCCATGTTGGAGATGTCCCCCTCTCCACGCGCCGCCATGACGCCCCACAAATCTGCCACCAAGATCTGGGCTCGCTTCAGGAACGAGAGCGCCCTCCCCTGGAACAACAAGAGGGGAATACTTAAAAGAGAAGTAGTGTATTGATCGATTAGATACCCACATACTAAGACGCGATTAAAGCATCAATACTGAAAGGAACACACACAGGGTTCCCACTGTTTTTCACAAAATTTCTAAACTTTTCCATGACTTTTTCTTGCCAGGCTGGTGCCACCTAGTGCCTCTGCTCAGTTTCATTTGTCTCCAGCAACTAGGTCAGGAATCAAAATACACTAGACAGTTCGCAAAAAGCCCGGAAATATGAGTTCAGGCACCAGCCAATCAGCGAAGAGACGTACATTCTGTGTTGGCAACGATTCCAGAGATTGAGGGTTTAAAGTCGGAACAAAGAGAATGTTTGAATTTTATCAAGAGGAAAGACGTTATTGTCCTTCTTCCTACGGGATTTGGGAAAAGCTTAATATACCAGTTAGCCCCATTAACGGCGCATTACAAACGTTACGACCAAACAGCAGTGATTGGTTAAATGATAAAAGTACCCGCCTACCGTCAACTGAACGAATCCTAATGCTGCGAGGTCAAACGGTTTCCATGAAGTGAAACTGGCTGATGAATCAGGCCAGACTTTTTCATGACCTAAAGTGAATTTTCCATGATTTTAAGGCACACTACATATCTAGAATATATCAGACTTTTAGGTCTAAATATAAAATATTAACCCTTTCCACTCACTTTATGGTTTGGTATTATAGTTTTTTTAACATTCAAAATACTGTCAGTGCATTTACTGTCATCTATTTAAAAAAAAAAAAAGGCACAGACGTTTGGAAATAATCATAATAGTCTAATGAAAACTTAACAGAACGATGTAGTTGCGTCAAAGAGATACTAAAATTTAAAAACTTTCATGACTCTTCCAGGCCTCAAAAATTACATTTTCAATTTGACTTTTTCTTTTCCAGGATTTCCATGACTGTGGAAACCCTGATCAGATCAATGGGACCAAATGTAACATTTCCTGAACAGTTTGAATAGTGACTAGTAAACTAACGGATTTGATCTTCAGAACTGGTATAAGAACACATCCTAATATTTTGTTTTTAAATCATATTCTATTGTAAAATTTCAGTTTTTTTGGAGTTTTCCCTCAAGATTTAGAAATTATAGCATTATGAAAACAGTGTACTTGATTTACAAATATTTAAACGTTAATTTTGACACTAAGAAAAAAGCTCAAATCTAAATAATATTAAGAGTATAATCATTGGTCACATTTTTACACAGCGCTTTTCCACCTCAAAGTGCTTCAATCAATACAATTATCATAAGAAACATTATGTAATACTGCCTGGGTAATAATATATTTGACAACTTTTGTGAGAAGACATTTCAAATCTTCTTTACGAGACTGCAATGTCACTTGAATCCAGCAGATGGACCCCTTATATTATAAATGCAAATACATCTCCTGTTCCGTTCTTTGGTTAAGTGTGATTATTTAAAAAAAATAAAAAATTTTTTTTTGGAAAATACATAAATCAATCAAAATCATTTGCACTGGAAGCTGTTTAAAATATTAAAAGTGTCATGTTTAGATACAACTTTGCCTGACACTGTAAAAACACGATGTGACTAAAATATATTCATAAATCATTATAACAATTTAAAATCAGTGCAAACCTAAATAAGAAAATCAGGCTGACATAATTATCTTAGTTACACAGACAAAGTAGAGCTGACACGAATAACTATTTACATCTCTCTATATTTTTTATTAAACAGGAATTATTTTCTTTGATTTGTCGACTATTCAAGGTTTTCTTTAGCAGGTAAATTTAAAAAATGTGCCAGTTGGATTTATCATGATAAAAAATATTAAAAATAAACAAGAAAAAAAAAAAAAATCACAAAATGTCTGATGTAATAATGACAACGTTTTTGTCAAATAACCAATTAGTCCCACATAATCTGATTATTGTTACAGGCCTCATGTTAAAGTGCATTTGGTCAGATCTTTCATTTTCTTTTCCCTCTCGGCCTCTTCCCCTTCTCTCTCTTTCCTCCTCCTCCTCCTCCTCCTCCTCCTCCTCCTCCTCCCCTCTCTCCCTAAAGTCTGATCCCCTCCCTCTCTCCCCCTTTCTCTTTCTCCTCTCTCCCTCCTCTTCTCCTCTTCATCCCACTCTCTCGTACTTGATATACAGCTTGGTCCCCACTCTCCCTCCCCTCCTCTTTCCCTTTCTCACCCTCTCTCTCTCTTCCCTCCCTTTCTCCCTCCCTCTCTCTCCTCCCCTCCTCCTTTTCCTCCCTCTCTCTCAAACCTGGTACACAGCCTGGTCACCTCCCTCTCCCCCTCTCACTCCTCCCTCCCTCCACTCCTCCTCTCCATTCCACTCTCTCCTCTCTCCCTCCCTCCCGCCTCTTCCGCTTCTCCATCCCTCTCTCATACCTGGTACACCGGCTTGTTCCCTCCCTCTCCCCCTTTCTCTCTCTCCCTCCTCTCCTCCTCTCTCCCTCCTTTCCATTCCTCTCTCTCCTCTTTCGCTCCTCTCCATCCCTCTCTCCTCCTCCCCTCTCTCCCTCCTCTCCATTCCTCTCTCTCCTTTTTCCCTCCTCTCCTCCTCTCTCCCTCCCTCCTCTCTCCCTCCCTCCCTCTCTCATACCTCGTACACCGCTTGGTCATCCCCCCCCTCCCTCTCTCTCCTCCAATCTCTCCCTCCTCTCCATCCCTCTCTTCCTCCACTCTCCTCTCCATCCCTCTCTTCTTCCTCTCTCCTCTCCATTCTTCTCTTACTCCTCTCTCCTCCTCCTCATCCCTCTCTCATACCTCGTACACCGCCTGGTCATCCCCCACTCCCTCTCTCTCCTCCAATCTCTCCCTCCTCTCCTTCCCTCTCTTCCTCCACTCTCCTCTCCTCTCCATCCCTGTCTTCTTCCTCTCTCCTCCTCCTCTCATCCCTCTCCTCCTCTCCTCCTCTTCCCCATCCCCCTCTCTCTCTCTCTCTCTGTCATGTACCTGGTACACGGCCTGGTCTCTGTACGATGGGATGTGTTCTGTGATAAGTTCCACCATCCTCTGGGCATCGTTCCCGGCTTGGCTGATAAAAGTCCGGAAGCTTCCTCCGTGCTCCATCAGGACTCTCCCGGCCTCAGTCAGCACCTGGACACACACGACCAAACGTGACCAGGGATAAAACAACTTATTAAACAAACAATGTGATCAGAGTAAAGCAGAGCCGTGTAATTTATCACCATGATCGTGATTCTATTACTCCTCTACTCCATTACAAAAATATTACTAAAGGTGCATTATGTAACTTTTCTGATGGGGCCACGCAACCTCCTTGTCTCTGTGGAGATAACTGCTATACCTGAAATGTTCCACTGTACAGGGTTCCCACTCTTTTACACTGACCAAATTTCAAAGCTTTTCCATGACTTTTTCATGACCTAAAGTGAATTTTCCTTGACTTTACGGCACCTACATTTGTAGAACTGATCAGACTTTTAGGGCTAAATATGAAAAATGAAATGTTAACTCTTTCCACTCACCTTATGGTTTGGGATTATAGTTTTTTAACATTCAAAATCCTGTCAGTGCATTTATTGTCGTCTCTGTTGAAGGCTGTACCAAGTGGTGAAGTTTCTTGAGTGCATCGCATGTCACTATGTGAAACATGTTTGCTTTTGAGGTAATCCTTTGCAGATGGTAAATGGTATTTTTCTATAGCGCTTTTCCACATTCAAGGCACTCAAAGCGCTTTACAACAAGGAACCACTCACCCATTCATACACACATTCATACACCAGTGTACGCAGACACTGTGGGCAAGGTGGGTTAAGTGTCTTGCCCAAGGACACAACGGCAGCATTCATCTGTGGGAGCTGGAATCACACCAGCCAACCTTCAGATCAGTGGGCGAATGCTCTACCAACTGAGCTACTGCCGCCCATAATATATAGCAGATATAGGTTGTGTCCTTTTAAGGAATTTCATTGTAAAGCAGCAGCAGTGGAGATGGTTCGGCCTGGTGCAAAACTAAACAAACTGGTGATTTACATTGGGCTGCTGTCAACCCCCTAAACCTAAAGGAATGCAGAGATACTCCAAGGAAGATTCAAGGCGTTACCTGTTCAACATATTATTTGCATATTCATATGGATGTCTATAAAATCTGATTTGAGGTATTCAGAAGCGTCCAGATTTGCCTGATTTAAGACCTGTGTAGCCGTAGGCGGTCAGGGGTAACGATCTGACCCAGAGCTCTGTATTAGAATTGTATTGTATAGGGAATAAATTCTTTTTGATTTTAATCGATCGATTCCAGTGGTTATTTTTAAGAGAACACACTTAATGGATTTTGAAGATACCTAACACTGTTAAACAAAAGGCGCAAACGTTGAGAAATAATGAATGAAAACTTGACAGAACGCTGGAGATGCGTGAAAGAGATACTAAAATTTCCGTAACTTTTCCAAAACTTTCTTTGAATTTACAAAATTCCATGACTTTTCCAGGCCTGGAAAATTACAGTTTCAATTTCCATGACTTTTCCAGGATTTCCATGACCGTGGAAACCCTGGCTGTATGGTACTAAACTTATCCATCCTTATCCGTCATGTATTCAAATGCAGGTGTTTTTCTTGCTCAAAAATACCTCAAAAACATGCATTCTTAATATGACCAACTTCTCCATAGATCTGACCTGTAATTTGGCACGGTGGTATCTTGTTTCCGTGGAGACAGACACCTGGAAACATTACAGGCAAAGCGTTTTTTTAATTTTGAAAATGAAAGTGTCCAAAAATATGAGTAACATCAGTCCACAACTTCTCTGTAGGTTATTTGTATCTGTATAAAAGTAAATTTATTAATTTATTGAGACTTTATTCTTCATTCTAACTGAGCAGCTCTAGTTTGTGTAATAGCATGCACACCTAATAGTTAAGAGGTCAATTATGTAACTTTTCTGGTGGAGGTCTGCCACCTCCTTGTCTTTAGCCATCCAAAGGAGGGGCCGACAGTTAGACGGCGCTTTTGTTGTGACGACGTTCACGCGACGTCAGCTCCCACTGGACGCCGCGGTTTTCTAACTCAGAAATCAGCTGACTTGTTTCTGTTAGAAAATTGCGATTTAAAATGTCCAAGTTAAATCAGACACAAGCACAACCATCCTCTTTAATAAATCTAACCTACTCTAAGGAGACGAGCAGGTGATCCACTAGTTACCGGTCAGATCTGTGGAGAAGCAGCTTCACTCACAGTAAGAATATATATTTTTAAACCATCAAAAAATTAGAATCATTTACTAAATGCAAGATAGGTCAGTTTAATGCCAAGCTCTGAAATATTCCAAGCTTCCAAGTTGTTCCGCCCCTCACATACGCATAAACTCAGCTCACCAAAAAAGTAATTAAGTTCAATAGAAACCTGATAAATGGGGGAAAGTTGTGTGTAATAAAACAGATGACCTCCCAGTTATTCAGACAGTATTTGCAGTTTATCTGAGCTGTCGTCATGATAAACTAGGAACATTTAAAAATTAGGCCATTAATTCATAAATCACTTTTTTGGCCTTATCAAACCTCATGTTATTGCACTGATAATATAAAAGACTTTATGAGGTATTTTAAATGTATCATTATAGTGGTTAGATATTATTTTATTTTTAAATTTAATATGACTTGAAGTTTCATTGGAGTAGGTTAGATTTATTAAAGAGGACGACCGTGCTTCTGTCTGATATACAGTTATAATGGATCATCAAGTTAGAATTTGGACATTTTAAATCGCAATATTCATCTAAAAGAAACAAGTTAGCTGATTTCTGAGTTAGAAAACTGTGGTGCCCAGTGGGAGCTGACGTCACCGTAAACGTTGTCACAAAAAAAGCGCCGTATAGCTGTTGGCTCCTCCTATGGATCGCTGCAGGTCACACTCTTTCATTTTGTTCATTTGTACCAAAATGACAACACAAATCTTACTTTTGATGACTAAGAAAACAAAACAGGGAACATAAATTGAGAAGAGTGATTATATATCGGTGAAAATGGGAGCTGATCTGCAACAGGCTCTATTCACGCTCACCGGAAGACGTCTGGAAACACGCGGACGACAACTTCCGGTGTAATTACCGATGCTGAGCGTGTGATAAAACCGTGGATTCAGCAGCGGCGTCTTCACAACCTGCCAAAGCTTTCCATAGACAACATGGGTTTAATTGCATCTTCGGTGTCACTCACAGGCAGCTGGTTGATAAGCCAAACATAATGGAACGCTCTGCTCTGGTGACATCTTAATACTTGAGTAAAATACAGATACCGTATTTTCCGGGTTATTAGACGCGCTCAAAAGCCTCCAACCCCATCAAAAAATGACCGCGCGCCCCGCAAGCTAGAGCGCCCTATACACAAATCCACTAGGGTGTCCCAGCACGACTTCAGTAAACTACAAAGAACACCCGCAGACACACTCATCACTCCACGCCGACGAGGAACAGAACGGAGGAACGAACTGAAAAAGCGAGTGCAATGTGCCGCTTCTAGACACAACTGAACAAGGCAAGGCAAGTTTATTTGTATAGCACAATTCGTACACAAAGTAATTCAAAGTGCTTTACAGAATAAGAAATACATTAAAATCATAATAAAAACAAATCAAAACATAAATAATCGTGAAGATTAAAATAAAAAAGAGAGACATAAATTGGAGAGAAGAGTGCGGAATGAAAACCTTTCAGTTATATGCACAGTCAAACAGAAATGTTTTGAGTCTGGATTTAAACAGCGTCACAGAAGAGTCTGTCTCACATGTTCAGGAAGACTGTTCCAGGTTTTAGCTGCATGAACCTGAAACGCTGACTCCCCTTGTTTAGTCGTGACTCTGGGCACCAGCAGGAGGCCGGTCCCTGAGCTCCTCAGAGTGCGAGATGGTTCATATGACACTAACATGTCACAGATGAACAACTGAGTCACTGCGAACACGCTGACAATCCGTTGGTCCCAGACAGCACCCTCCCTACACGCCACAACTGAACAAAGCCCAGAGTCACCGTGAACGCCACAAACAAAGACCCATCCAACTGTTGTTTCGTTTAAAGTCCGGTGTGGTTTATTTGTGAAAAAAGTTTGAAAATAGACCATTTAATGACAGTCTCCCTCCTCTAAACAAGTACCAAAACTGTAGCTCTGTAACAAAATAATTTAGTGAAATATACCAAAAAATACTCTTGGTGATATATCGATACAGCAGCCCACGATATCGATACTGTATCATCACATTAAGCAATACGATATATCGATATTTCAATATTTTTGCACACCCCTATTGGCAAATGTGAAAAAAACGATACTAGGTACAGATTGATTTTTACATTTTTTTTTTTTAAAGTTGGGCAAATGATGCACCCTAATGTAAAACGGTAAAAAGGCACTTCATTAATCAAGTTTTACTTTTTCAGCACAACACGTGTAATTCAGAAATCCTTTGGCGAGCCACTTGGAAGGGGGCGAAGAGCTACCGGTAGCTCCCGAGGGTAAATGAGAAGAGGAAACAAGTATAGCATGGATCAAAACTCTGAAAAGTCGATCTTACTTTAACATAGCGGGAGTAGACTTGACGTGCCGCTGGTTCACACTTTTGCGCGCCACATTAAATTGAGACTAAACCTGGACTCAACCTGGAACTACATGTGGTCCGGAGTGGTTCAGACTCGGGGGGTGAAATGTGACGGTTCCTGTGCTAATGGGTAATGATTAAAAGTCTGTACTGTTCTTTTCATAAAGTATTTGAAAGACATATTTAGTTGTTCCTAATCAGGCCTGTCACTGTAATTACTATAATGACTTATCGCTGAGTATATAAAAGCGGGAACAATATATTTTGAGGCTCACTATTTATCCTGTCAACTTTTTCTTTGTAAAAGTGGTTAGATTTTATTATTGACCAATAATAGTAGACTACAGGCTGCAGTTCAAACTTTTTAAGAGACTTTCTATTTAAAAATGCTTTACTGGGATTATGCTTTATTGTTATTGTGTCAGTGGTATAAAGTAATTTCAATATTATCGTTTATCACATCGTATTTCTGTAGCAGTGGTGGAAGGTAATGAGTTACAAAAGTAAAAATACAATACTTAAGTACAAATTTTATGTCTCTGTATTTAACTTACAGTGGATACTTTTTACTTTTACTTCACTGCTGACTGAAAAGTAAAAAGTTTTCTGGTCATTATGGTCTAAAACCTGCTGAGACTTACAATATTTTTAGAATTTAATTTGAGTGAACGTCCCGTTTTAGCAAAGCAAACACACAAAAACACAAAATAACTAGAAAAATTTACAAAACACTTAAAATCCGCTGAACTCATGATCAAAATCACAACATTTCATCCTGTAATTGTTCGGAAACTCGCTGCAAAATACTTTTACTTTTTACTCTTAAGTGCAAGTACTTCCATACTTTTACTTGAGTAGATTTTTTTAATGTGATACTTTTACTTTTATTTGAGTAATATTTTGCCCCGGTATCTGCACTTTTACTTAAGTAACAAAATCCACCACTGCTCTGTACCAATAAACTGTGCTTCAAAATGTGTTATTGGAACAGGAATGTTTCTAATTACAAAAAGGGGAGACCACTAGGAATATAAAATGCCACAGTGGAGCAGCAGTGGTCCCAGTCTCTTTTTGATGGACAAAATTTTTAAACTTTTCCATTACTTTTTCATAACCTAAAGTGAATTTACCATGACTTTACGGCATCTACATGCGTAGAATTGATCAGATTTTAAGGCTAAATATGAAATGTGAACCCTTTCCACTCACCTTATGGTTTGCTATTATAAGTTATTAGGTTCTTTTTTCAGTTTGTTTTCATACCCGGGACGAGGAGGCGTTTTTACTCTCACATAGGGCTGTCACAATAACTGCAAAAATGAATCACCGAAGTTCTAAGAGGCCCACTGCGGTGGATGTTGGGTCACCGCGATCACCGCATGTGACCAAAATGACCTGACCTAGACTCCTGCATGGGTCCATTTTAAACACCCGCACCAGCCCAGACCCGTTAACATTCCACCCGTTAACACCCGTGATAACCCAGGACTAACCCAGGACTAACCCAGGACTAACCCAGGACTAACCCAGGACTAATTGCGCCTGCGTAGACCATTGGGTGACTGCAGGCGAAAGGACCGGCTCAGAGCTCCGCGCCGCACGGAGTTAAGTGTGCGGCCGTCGCCTGATTACACTTTGCGGACACCTGCTCCACGTGCAGCGGCACTTGTTCTGAAGCCAAATGTTACTTCTCCCACGCTACACACGCTATATCCGCACGAGAACCAAGGTACATGTGCATGAGGAAGACAAAATGAACCTCACTGGACTGGACTTTTGGTATTATTACTGGTATTATTGTTTTTTAACATTCAAAATACTGTCAGTGCATTGTCGTCTCTTTTAAACAAAAGGCGCAGATGTTCGGAAACTTAACAGAACGCTGTAGTTGTGTGAAAGAGATACTAAAATTCCTTTTCCAGGCCTGGAAATTTACATTTTCAGTTTTCATGACTTTTCCAGAATGGTAAATGGTCACATTTTTCTATAGCGCTTTTCCACCTTCAAGGCACTCAAAGCGCTTTACAACAAGGAACCACTCACACACACACACATTCACACACCAGTGTACGCAGACACTGTGGGCAAGGTGGGTTAAGTGTCATCTGTGGGAGCTGGAATCACACCATATGTTGAGAGCGGGATTCGAACCGCCAACCTTCAGATCAGTGGGCGAATGCTCTACCAACTGAGCTACTGCCGCCCTGTCCATGAATTCCACTGTGTCCTCAGGCAAGACACTTCACCCATCGTGTCTGGTCTGACTGTGGGGTGTGTGTGTGTTGGCGGTGGTACGAGGGGCCTGACCTGGTGTCGTTCGTGGATCATGGGCATCGGCGTGGCGTTGTCAGACCTCAGCACGTGTCTGAGCTGCTCCAGAGTCACGTGAGAGAAGAAGTGAGGATCTGTGATGGGGACACCTGGAAACACACGGGCAAAGAGGGAATAAACAGAATATACTTTCACTCATTGAGGTTTAAATAATGCAAAATTGATTGTTCCTGGAGTGAAATGTGTCCTCTGCATTTGACCCATCCTTCAGTGTCTCTGGGTTAAACCTGTCAGGAGCAGTGGGGCCCATCTCCAGATCTTGCACTAGTCTTGATCAGGACTATCTTAGCCTGAGAATTTGACCTATTCCCCTTCAAAAATGATGTTCGCCCCACAGTCACCAACCTTGACGTCACCTTAGTCAGTGATTTTAAATTTGACAAACAGATCAACGGTGTTTTAAAATCAAGTTTTCATCATTTGCAGCTTTTATCCAAAGTCAAACCTTTTTTTATCTTTTAAACTTTTTGAGCAAGTCATGCACGTTTTTATTTCATCACGCCTGGACGACTGTCACGCACTTTATTCTGGCATCTCAAAACTTCTACAGTTAGACCAAAACTCTGCGACTTTTAACATTAACCAAAAGAAAAGATCACATTAACCCAGTTCTTGAGCCTTTGCACTGGCTTTCCGTTCATTTTAGAACAGATTTTTAAGATTTTATTGTTTGTTTTTAAAGCTTTGAATGGACTGGCCCCACAGTACGTCTCGGACCTCATCCAAATTTACATCCCTGTGCAGGCGCTGAGGTCCAAGGTCCATGGGGCCTACGACGAGACTTAAAACCAGGAGGACGGGACCTTCTCTGTGACCAGCCCTAAACTCTGGAATACTCTGCCCCTCCACGTACGAACAGCCCCCACAGTGGAGAGTTTAAAGTCTCATCTTAAAACCCATTTTTATTCTCTGACTTTTAACACTTCATGAGTTGTGTGCTCCTCTGTGGCTTTTATTTATTTTATTGCTTTTATTAACTTATTGCAATTCTATGGTTTTGCTCTTATTATATTTTACTGGTTTTATTGTTTTAAGATGAATATGATTAAATCTGACTGTTTATTTTATCATTACATTATTATTGTTGTATATATTATGTATTTGTGCAGCACTTTGGAAACTGTTTATGAAACGTTCTATAAAATAAAGTGGATTAGATTGGATATTTGCATGTTTTGGATTGATGAGGGAGACACATCCAGACACCAGGTGAAATGTGCAAACTCCACACATAAGTCCACCCGAGAGTCAAACCCAGAACCTTCTTGCTGTGAGGCGAGAGACGAGCCACTCAGCCACCATGCCAGTACATTGAAGTTACCACATGTGCTCTGTCAAACTATCAAAAACATTTTTCTCCTCCTCAAATGTTTCAAGAAAAAATATGGGAATTTTACGTTTTGAACATTTGGGCCCCATTTAAAGTAAAAAATTAAGCTACAGTATGTAACTTTCTAATTCACATCATCTGCACTGTTCCATGAAAATACAAAGTTAAAACCATACTCTGGAACATTCTACGCTATAGAGACTTACAGAGATTATTTATTTAAAATGTAGTTATTATTTTATATTCTGCTTGTTCTGGATTCAATGTTTAAGCAAAACTATTATTAAACATTCATTTTAATAAGAAAAAGTTACATTACATATCTCGAAAGAAGAGAAAACATGCAGATGTTTTTATTTTTCAATAAATATTTAGTTTGGCCCACGACTTAGTCCCAGTTTTTAATTTTGGCCTCTGTGAATTTGAGTTTGACACTCCTGATCTACATGGAGATTAAGGATGTGCAATTAAATGATTAATTGATTTAGATTTTTGTGTCAAACTACCTCTAAACTCATATAATTGAGTTGAAATGAAGCTTAACAAAGTTTATTTTTGGATATTTTTTCATATAAATAAGTATAATTAATCTATTTTTTAGATATAGAGATTGTAGAACAGTTTATTTTGTATACATTTATGTTTATTTTGGATACATTTTGTTTTTCTATGCCTTACTTCATGTTCAAAGTATATTTTATTCATTTTATGTTTTATACATCGCAAAACTGCTCTGAGGCACATATGTGTAGCCTATATTTATTTACAATTGTCAAAGTTTTGCATAAATTATCAATAACAAAGTGTTCTTTTTAGGAAGAAAAATGCTAAATAAATGCATTGTGTAACAAAAAAAATAATGGTTTTCAAACCATTATTAATAATAGTGATTTCAATATTGACCAAAATAATCGTGATAGTGATTTTTTCTTAATGGAGATAGATACATTTCATGCTACACTGGAACATGACAGCCAAAGGAACAACATTTCCATGGAAATAAGCAGGCCAAGCAAGAGTCAGGTTTGCGGAGATGCAAGCCAGTTCACACGGACACAGGTTTAAGTTTTTCAAAGCATCCAAAATGAAAAAGAACACATGCTTTTATTCCATTAAATATTGGGATAAAAGTTAAATACTGTGGCTTTAATAAAGACACACTTTTTACATCGAACTTTTTCATTTGACCTTCACTTAAATAAATCCTCATCTAAAACGAGCCCATCACACCGAGCCGTAGAGAGCGCCCTCCAGAGTCCGCCTCGTTATAACGTTACCTTCCCATAATAACAGACATATAACTCAGCAGAGGCCATTTCTCCAGCGCCGCAATGCACTGTGGTCTCACGCTAACAACAAGATTGACTCCGCGGTCGCTCCAGTCTTTTTCCAGGAGATTCTCTGGTAATTACCGAGGGCCGCGCGGAGAAAGCACTATTCCATACCAGCCATAATTGATACATATCCGGAGTCATTCAAACTAATTATAAATGATTCACGGATGCACGCGGCGCTACGAGCAATTTCAACCGCACACGGGGTTCAAAAAAAAAAAAGGGAACATGCGCCGTAATTGGCAACGCACAATAAAAGCACACAACACACAGGACGGCATGTCGAGCAGAGACACAAATGGAAGATTAAGTTTTAAAGAAGAGCTTTTGTGTTTGTGTTTGTACTTATAGTCAATCACCCCCGCGGATCATTGTGTTATAATTTGGACATTTCAAATAAATATTAATAAAAATGACTTAAAGTGCCCATGACAGGTTCCACAACTCACTTTACGTTTTACTTCATTACATTTTCATGCTAATTTTTCTGAATTTTGTAATTTTTTAGGTTTAAAATTTTGCTTTCTGGTTGGAAATTGTGACACACTTGGGATTTCATAACTGTTACCTAGCAACCGCTGGGCCCAAACTCCTCTAATGTACACGGAAATTATTATCTGACAATTAGAAATATCAGAAGACACCTTTATTTTGTTGAATTAATGTGAAAAATGTGTTTCTTATTTCTTACATGTAAACTGTGCCGAACTTTTGTATAGAATTCTTGAAACTCTCTCTCTCACTCTACTTTTTTTTGTGTCATTTGTATTCCCTAATGGATTTTTCAGTTGTTTGGGGGCGCTGACAAGCCATTTTATTTATTTTCGGAAAATGAAAATAGCCAAAAGTTAGAGAAGAGCGAGTTTTACCAGATGGCAAAATTTCAGGACTTATCTTCATGGTTCAGTGGGTGAAAATTGGGTGAGTTGGTTAGGAAAAAAATAATAATAAGAAGAAGAAAGAAGAATATTCTGATGCGAGAACAATGTTCCACTTTTTTTTGGCCGACAAACTATACATTTTCGGAAACCTCAGGCGCATTGCTACGTCATGGCGAGGGTCCCTGGTCACTACGGGCGAGTCACGTCGCGCCATTTCATTTTCTGGCCACAAAGAGCATCGAGTTGCGATACTAATACTAAGAATGTAGGGTTACCAGTGAGGTCTAAAACAGAATCCATGTCATCACAAACTAAAAACTCCATCCAAAATGCAGAAAAAATGAAGTTTTCTGGCATTTTAAGTCTTCATTTAACATGATAAACTGTGTTTTTATTTATCTAATAATAACTATTGTTCAATTTAGAAATGTTTTGGCTCTTGTTAACATTATTGTTGCTAGGTAACAGTTGTCTTATCTGCTGCCCATTTCCAACCAGGAAGTAAAATTATAGCCTTAAACTTCACCAAAAATTAAAAACTACATAAAACTAGAAAAGATCAATTTTTTTTTAACCAAAAAATAAAATTAAATGTTTTTGCAAAATGAGCAGTGTAACCTGTTATGCAAAAGTCCACAGTGTAAATATAAATGTGTCTGTATATTTGACATGTGTAAAATCCCTCAGTCGTCCAGGTTAAATATTTTTTTGTTACATCACTGTTTACCTTCGTCCATGGCTCTGGAGACGGCAGCGCACAGAGTCATGTAGCCAGTGTAAGTGCGCCCCCTGTAGGTGACCTCACACTGCTGCGAGTCCGAGTCGGGCCAAAAGGAGAAGTTCATGGTGTCCACCACAAACACCCAGTTTAACGCCTGAGGAGAAACACACGGATCAGAGCAGTTACACACGAAGAGTTAAAAGTACACTGTGTCACTTTATTTGATTTAGTTTGATCAGCAGATTGTATTTATTTTGTCCAATTAGTTTATTTATTGTATTCGGATATAGTCTAATGTTATTGTGTTATATTTTATCATCGTTTTTACTATTATCGTAATTACTTTATATTTATTTTGTATATTTATATCATGATTTTGCTTCATAAACAAGACATGATAACAACTGTAAAGCTGATTTATTCTTAATTACAAATCCACTGGACACGATGGAGCAGAATGAGCCTCAGATGAGTCTCTCATTTGCGTTGCCAGTTTCAATGCTGAAATCCATTTGGTTTAAACCAGGGTTCTCAAATCTTTTTCCTCCTTTTCAACCTTTTGAGCTCCTTTACAAAACAAAACTACCAGAGAGCGACTATTTTAGCTGCCGCAAGAAATTAAGATGATTATAAGAAAGAGGGTGAGCCTTGGGGCACAGTTAGACGCCTCTAAAACATAAACCACTGTCCATTTATTAGTGCACAAAGTCAAAATTATACATTTATAATAGTAATAGGCATGTAATTATTTTTTTGTCACTTAATTTTTAAGTATTTTATACAATAATAATACAATAACAAAACAGGCACAGTCAGCAAGGAATTCAACATACATTTAGACATAATACATACACATGTACATATACACCCATATATATCACTCATACATGTTACTCTGGAATGCTGTTGTTTTATTGGTACATAGCTGGAGCAGAGCTAACTTAACTAAACTAAATACTGCAATATTTAGTCCGTTTAGCCTAAAATCTGGTTAATTACAATAGGCATGTAATTAACCAAATTTGTGTTAATCAGCACAAAGGTATAATTCCGAAATTCCTTGGCGAGCTACTAAGGCTACGTTCAGACTGCAGGGCTTAATGCTCAATTCCGATTTTTTTGTGAAATCCGATGTTTTTGCGAGGTCGTTCACATTTCCAATTAAATGCGACTTGTCTGTGACTCCAGTGTGAACATTAAACGGCCCGAAAGTGTCCCGCATGCGCACTAGAGGACACGATGAGGTCAACCCCATGCGTCAACCGCAGCGAGCGTGCTCTGTGTTTACGGAAGTTGTCCAAACATGGACGCGAGCATTGAGCACCTGGAGATTTTACAGTTCCGGTTTCCACCTGCTTCAGCGCAGAATAGTGACGTTTGTGGCTTGTTGATAACGTGTAGGTCGGATGGATGCGCTTTGGCCGTTCAGACTGAAGTCGCATGTCAAAAGATCAGATATGTATCGGTTTCAGGAGCACATATCCAAGTGGCCTGGGTCGCATTTGAAAAAATCGGATCTGTGCCGTTCAGACTGTCATTAAAAAATCGGATACAGGTCACATAGAAGCCAAAAAATCGGATTTGGGTCACTTCAGGCTGCAGTCTGAACGCAGCCTTAGAAGGGGGTGGAGAGCTACTGGTTGGAGACCCTTGGTTTAAACCCAAAACGCCTCTCTCTGATCTGAATGGGCACTACCTAAACCTCAGCACACGAGTCAGTGCTAGTGCAGCCTCTGCTGTTCAATGAGGGAATTCTTGAGGTTCTGATCTTTCATTTGAGGCCTGTCCATAAACTGAGAATGAGACAAACTTGTGTGTGTCTCTATCTGCAGGTTTAGGCTTTGGAAGCACAGTGATTATAGTTAACTGTAGTTCAAAGCACCCAAATTAGTAAATAAAGTTCATTAAAAAGTGTGGAGTTTCTGTGCTCAGAGATTTCTCAGAGCAGAGGTGGTCTAGTGCCTCCACTCAATTTGATTTCTCTCCAGCGACTAGGTCAGGAATCAGAATACACTAGATGGTTCGCAAAAACCCCGGAGGTGCAAATTCGGGCACCAGCGAAGAGCTATACATTCTGTGTTGGCAACGAATCCTGAGATTGAGAATTTAAAGTCAGAACAAAGAGAATGTTTGGTGAATTTTATCAAGGGGAAAGACGTTATTGCCCTTCTTCCTACAGGATTTGGGAAAAGCTTAATATACCAGTTATCCCCGTTAGTGGTGCATCACGTACGTCACGACCAAATAGCAGCGACTGGTTAAATTTAAAAAAGTACCCGTCTGTGGGGAAGCTGGCCAAAATGGTCAAAGTAGGAGGCAGATGCAACAAAAAAAAAAGTGTCCTTAACCAAACATTTACTTTAAAACAGACTTCTGGACTTCACCAACAAAAGTACAAATAGACAAAAAAATAAGTAACTCAAAGCAAAAACACCAAACAACCTGCACAGAAGTCTCTCCCCAATTGATGACACCTACTTTGCTTTTATACCCCGACCAGCAGGAAGTACCTCCCCCTAGGTGAGTGTCCAGATAACTCCCAAAGCAAACCAAGTCCCCTTTCAAAATAATAATGTTTGACATAAACTAACGTGAATTTAAAATGAGACAAAGGCCCCACTTTGTCACAGCGCCTACTGTAAAGCGAAAGAATCCTGATGCTGCGAGGTCAGACAGTTTCCACAAAGTGAAACCGACTCATGAATCAGCCTAGTTCTTGTGCAGGCTTCATATTCTCCCTTTAAAATTCACTATGGACGGAACCGTGATTTTAAAACAAATTGAAATCGCTCGTAATACTAAAAAACCCCGACACAATTAAATATTTTCACAAGCGTCACCCCCATCACATACATTTACATATAATAACCAGTGTGTTTCACCTGTAATCTGAACAGATGTCACCTCACCCCCATCGCGAACATTATCCCTTCTTCAAAACCTCATCTTGAAGTCTAAGCTCCTCAGAGTACCTGTGTGTGTTGGGTAATAAAAATGGAAATCCTGCTTTTGCCATGTTAAAAGTGTTGATCTCCACAGGGCAGAGTTCCCCTAACAACCGAAGATTTTTAAGGTTTTCGAAACAAGACGATGCCCCACTTTCAGATGGGGCACTATTACGCTTTTTTAGTTAGTTATTTAGTATTAAGCTATAACATATGTAGTAGAGCTGCAAGATTAGTCAAAGTCAGATCGAAATCGAAATATGAATGGGTCCAAAAACAGAAGCATCATAATTTCCTCTACAAATAAGAAAATCTCCTGTCTCATTCTGGATAAAAACTGCAAAACCTTTTAGTTTAGATGTGTACAAACATGTTCTTCTTTTAGTTTCTCAGTACATATTTTAGTTTTTTTGTCAACCTGCATGTGTGAGTGTGTATGTTTTTTTTTTTTTTAACTTATTTTTATTTTTATTTAAATCATTTCAGGTGCAAGCCACATAGTTACGAGACAGCAGTAAAAATACAATAAAAGTAAAATGACAATAAAGTTACAGTGTAGATGCAGTCGTACACATTATCTCCTCATTTATTATTCATAATATACACTACACATACACTATATCATAACTGCCCATAAAAAAATTCACATCCATTTGCAATATAGTCTTGAACTGAAGACTATTTGTCCATGAATAAATCTGTCTTCATTTGTAACCTTGCCGTTTTTTGCTCCATAAGATCCACATCCTTTATTTTACTAACCTGGACGTGTTTAAAATGTGAATTCTGAACAGGACCTTATTATTAAATGACCCGAAATCGCAAATCCACTCACAATCGCCATTAGAATTTGATTAATTAAATGCCTTGTACCATTTTAAGTGTATAATTTTGATGCCTAACTTTGTACACTAATAATTGGATAAAGGTTTATGTCTATTATCTCTCTGGCATTTTTGTTTTGTAAAAGTATCTCAACAGAAAGAAAACGGTTGGAGACTCTTGTTATAGATCAAACTATATAGTCAAACTCTGGTCCGGGGGCCAAATTTGGCCCAAAATATAATTATATTTGGCCCACGAGATCATATCAAATATGTATTAGAGGTAGTTCGCTGGCTACAGATAGACTATAGAGAGATTACTTATTTAAAATGTTGTTATTATTTTATATTCTGCTTGTTCTGGATTCAATGTTTAAGCAAAACTATTATTAAACATTTATTTTAATAAGAAAACGTTTAACATTACATATCTCAAAAGAAGAAAAAACATGTAGATTTCATAAATATTTAGTTTGGCCTACAACTTAGTTCCAGTTTTAAAATTTTGGCCCTCTTGAGTTGACATCCCTGTTATAGATCATTATTTTATACATATTGCTCTTCGTAAATGAATAAACTAATTTAAAACATCTTAATAAGAGCAACAGGTGAACTGAATTCTGTTCAACCGCAGAGCTGATTAGGAATGATCCTTTTGATGCCTTTGAGTGCGAACTACATTTATTAATATTAAACTGTTATTAAAGTGCACCATGTAACTTTTCTGGTGCTGGTCTCCTGGAATGTTCCACAGTATGGCATAAAAACTTAATCCATCTCCATGAAGACAAGTTGGTAATGCCACCTGACCAGTTTACAAGCCAAATCTGCAGAGAGGCGACCCTACTAACGGTAAGAATGCGAGATATTTTGAGCAATAAAAACACCTGTAACCAAATTCACGCAAGACAGAGACGTTTAATGCCTTACTGTGGAAAATTGTAGACACAGCAGCACACAACAGCTCCATGGAGACAAGCAAGTGGCAAAGTGAACCTTTAAACGCTCTTAAAACTTAATTATTTTGATTATGACAGAACAGAAGGCTTGTCAAGGCAAAAGGAAAAAGTAACATTCACATTTCTGTAAAGGCCGAAACACACTACAGGATTTTTTGGTCTTAAACGATTTTTAAAGGTGCGACAAAAAGCGCACACCACAGACACGAAGAGAATCTTAAGAGACGTAAAATCTCCGATCGCAAAGAGTGCAGCGGGATATGTCTGCGGATCACAGGATATAAAGTTGTGAGCGCGATCACGTCTGCTGTTTCCTGTCTACTGTAAAACCACTCGCTTTGAGACTCTTAAATTTTCGATATAAGAGAATGAGAACTTCGTACATTAATAACTTAAGACTGAGCGTTGGAGCAGCCCAAGAACATAGAGAAAAATCCCACACACGCTGTCTTATTTCCAAATTGTGAGATTTATTAGGACAAACATTTATTAGAAATTTATTATCCTAATAAATCTCACAATTTGCAAGTAAGACGGTGTGTGGGATTTTTCTCTATACTTTTAAGTGTTGCAAAACTTCAAATATAGGGCTGGGTATCATTAAGAAGTTGCCGATACGATACATACACAGGCCACGATACGATACATATCTCGATACAGTGAACTTTCGATTCGATATGATATATTTCAAATTGATTCGATACGGTTCAATAAAAAATAAAGGCTAAATCGTGGCTGTGAAACTAAAAGTCTTTGTTAAACCACTTCTTGTGCAAAATTCATATGAAACACAGACATTTTAATCATCAAAACAGCAAAAATGTCAAATGTGTCGCATAAATGAGTTTCCTTTCACTCCACAAGCAACAAAACTGTAGCTCTGTAACAAAATAATTTAGTAAAACACACCTAAAAATACTCCTGGTGAAATATCGATACAGTAGCCCACGATATCGATACTGTATCATCACATTAAACGATACGATATATTGATATTCCGATATTTTTGCACACCCCTATTCAGATACATGATTTTTAATGCATAAAAAGATTGGCAATAAAGTCCACAGGAAGTAGAGTCATGATCACTAATCTGCAGCTTCACCTCGATCTGTGCACTGTACAGAGGTAAAAAGAACTACTCTTGCCTTTTTACTTCCAAAGAACACCTCAAACTGGATTAACAGCGCAGTTTTGGATTGGGTGTCATTATTTGTGGAGGACAATTTCTATGGATAATGAGGATGAGATGCTGCGATTTAAATGTACAACTTTACGAGAGGTGAGTAATAAAGTGTCCTCATTATTTTCGCTGTATCCCGGGTTTGTATCTTGCACATTTGTGTCCATCACTCCTCTGTCCCTGATGCTCTGTTTAACGGTGTAACAATATTCAAGTCTCACGATACGATATCGTCACGGTATGAACCTCACGATACAATATTTACTGCGATATCGTGGGAAAGCTCACGATATGTTGGGGAGGTTCACGATTAGGAATGTAACAATATCCAAATCTCTCGGTACGATATTTTCACGATATACATCTCACGGTACGATATTTATTATGATATTTTGTGGAGGGTAAACAGCTGAAACTGTGAATACGCTCCTTTTTCCTCTTAAAACGCCTTGACAAGACTTAATCCAAAGAACTAAAACTTAAAAGTGTGAGAACTGTTATTTCTTTTTGTAGTCTGCACTGAAATGGAGCAAAGGATCATGGTCTATGTAGTTCTCTTTGCTTAAATTAAGTGTTATGGTGCAGCAATAGCTAAAAAAAGACAGAAAGACTTGAATTTGATATATTGTGATGTTCCACGATATTATTGTGAGAACTGTGACGATACGGTATCACGATATTTCAGTTATTGTCTCATCTCTAGCTGTTATCGTAGCGTTGCTGATGTTTGGTGGTTATGATCTGACAGAGCAGCTCCGAGTCACACTGACACACACACACACACACACGAGGAGCGCAGCGGCTTCAAAAATCACACACGAAGACACAAAGTCAGGTCACGCCTCCTCAAACTCAGGTAGAAGCAAATCGCAGCCAAAATCGGGCAAATTCTCTTTAGTCTCCACAAAATATTGCAGGAAATATCGCACCGTGAAATGCGTATCGTGAAAATATCGTACCGAGATGTGGATCTGGTCACATCACTGTAGCGAGCAGCAGATTTTCATGTTTTTATTCTTGCAAGTGTGACATTTTGATGATGGAGTGTGATTTTCTTTGGTAAATTATCACTTTACAGAGCTTTTAGACGTGTTATAATGGTTTCCCCGACTCATGTCCCCACTACAAGTTGTACCAAGAGTGATTCATGCATGTTTGAGTAATTCACATTCAAGACGTCACTGCTCTGATCAACCCCCGTTTTCACCACCATCGGTACACGCCCACTGCTCTGTACTTACTTTGCTCTACTTTACTCTACAAATTGATTTTCTTAACATTAATATGCGTAGAATTAAAACAACTGAAAAAAAACAAAAAAACAAAAATTATATTAACTGCATTTTTTTGAGCTGACTAGAAACGGTGTTGAGTCCCCCAGGTTTCGCAGTTTTTCAACAAGGAAGTTAACGGACTTGTTTCTTTTATTAAGTTGTTTCAGATAAATATTGTGTTTTAAAATGATAAATTATAACATAAGAATAAGTGCTGTATATAACGAATCCATGTATCATTCATTTTTCAAAATAAAACCAAAAATAAGAAAAAAAAACTAAACTATTTTCTTCACTATTTGTTTCCACAACCAAAATGAAAAAAAAAAAAAAAAAAAAAACGGATGATTAATTTTTACAGTTTTTGATTTTGTGTTTAAATGAATAATGAAAAAAAAAAAAAAAAAAAAAACAGATAACGGCCGTGTCCTGTTTTCGTGACTTAAACTGCGATGCCAGACTTTTGCGCCGCAAGGACTAAACCAGGACTGGACTGAAACCAGGACTGAACCAGGACTGAACCAGGACTGAAACCAGGAATGAGACCAGGACCAGACTGGGACTGAGACCGGGATCTGGTTTAGTCCTGATTCACTTCTGGTTTACACCTGGTTTAATCCTGGTTCAGTCCTGGTTCCTGGTTCCTGGGAGTCCCCTCTGGTTTAGTCCCGGTCTTGGTCCCAGTCTGGTCTCGGTCTCAGTCCTGATCAGTCTACTCACGGGCCCGACACTCCTGGTTCAGTCCTGGTTCAGTCCTGGTTCAGTCCTGGTTCAGTCCTGGTTCAGTCCGGCATCGCACTTTAAATCCGTAAACGGGAAAGGGCCTTTATCCGTTTTTTAAACACAACAATCAAAAACTGGAAAAACAAATTATTATCCGTTTTTTCATTTTGGGTTTGGAGACAAATAATAAAGAAAATATTTTTTTATTTTTTTTATTTTTGGTTTTATTTTGACAAACGAATGAACGAATGATACACGGATTATAAAGTATTTCTGACAGTTACTTCAAAAAGAAGTCCGGAATATATTCTTCTTCCACACTTTATGAATATGTGAGTCTCGTCACAGGTGAATCTCCCTGAGTTCAGATGGATGTGATTGACAGGTGGATTAGCCAATGAGGGACACCCATGGTCAACCCGTATCAAATAAATATAAAAGCTTATGAGGAAAAAAGAAAAGAAAAAAATATCACAACATCACAGATTTCTGCAGCGTCAATGAACACTAAAGCACTAAACTGTGATTTTATTTTTGTGACGAATGAGCTCCTTCGTAGAGATTTAAAGCTGATAGGTGATGCGTTTAAAAGTCCAAATATCGGCCCGATGTTTCTCTGTATAAATATGTTTTTGCAGTGAATACTCCATAAATAGCCTGTTGTCACTTGCCTGGTCAGAGGAGGGGTCTGGGGCCAGGGGGTTGGCCTTCCTCCAGCCGTCTGCGCTCAGCTCCTCAGAGTTCCTCAGTCTGTAGAGCATCTCTGCGACTCGCTCCACCCCCTCGTCCTCCACCTTCACGTCCACGCTCCGCTCGGCCACAAACCGCCCAGACTCACGCGGGCTCAGGGGGGGCTCCATCTGCTCCAGCACACCTGCGAGAAGTAGAAGTCAGTTTGGCTCTTAAGGGACTGTAGGTAAGCTTTAGAAAAAGATTTAGTCACAGAATTTAAAATCAATATCCCCAGATACAACGCAAATATGTTCAAATAAAATAGAGCTTTTACTGATAATAATTGTAATACTGATTTATTCTTAATTACAAAAACACTGAACACGATGGCCAAGTTATTTATGTTATAATTTGGTGTTTTGATTCTCAGGACGACTATCCAATCAGAAAATAGAATGACTCTTGTTAGGGTTGCCAGTTTCAGTGCTGAATTCCAGCTGGTTTGATCTGAATTGTCCCTGCCTAAACCCAGTAGGAGTCAGTGCTAGTGCAGCCTCTGCAGCTCAGGGAGGGAATTCTGGAGGTTCTGAGCTTTCACATGTGTAGAGCTGTCACTGTCATTACTATATGGACTTATTATTCAATATCTGAAAAGCTGGAACAATATATACAATATATTTTGGGGCTCAGTATTTATCATATGTACAATTTCTTTGCAATAATGGGAAACGTTTTGTTATTTTTATTGTAATACAAAAATATTTATGCTGCAGAGGGTTAAAAAAGTAACTTTTATGGCTTATTAAATGTGCTTTATAAACTTGTTGCATCTGCGGCCTTTTTCTGATACGGTCTATTTAAAATTTGTTTACTGGAATTATCCTGCCTTATCGTTATTGTACCAGTGCCATAAATTAGTTTCAAGATTATAATTTATAGTTATATGTCTTGGTTGCAGTATATTGTGCTTTAAAATCTGATGGATGACACTTAGAAATGATCGATCTGTCTATCTGGGCACACAGATTTATCAGAAAAGGGTTTAAAAAAAAAATACATAAAAGAAAAAAACATACATTAACAGCACAACGAACTCTCCAACTTACCATTTCCGATAAGGCCAATTATCAGCCAAGTACATTTCCTTACATTATGATCATGCAGCTATTCATAAAGTATGCTGGCCACGAAGGAAACATTTCTAAAACCTTGAACAAAGTGCAACAAAGGGGGATAATTTGAAATACATTTGGTCGCATATATAAAGCTATACAATCAATCTATTCTAACCCGGTTACCATAGAAATACATTACAGGCCTTCCATACATTCTGGCAGTTCTATAATCATGCATGGTGGGGTGCAGCGCATGCGAGTCCAAGTGCCCTTTTCAGAGCGCTCCAATATAACACATGCTCACCACATGGGAAGTGCCATTTGAGAAATTATCAACCTTTATGAGATCATTGCATTGGGGGAGAAGGGCTGAACCACGATCACCTGTTGTAATTATGCAAAGAAAATCAGTCTGCGCAGTGACGTTTTGTATTAAGGTTTTGGATTTGTAATGTTAGTTTTTTATTTTATTTTAACACATGCGCTTATTTTTAATTTATTGTAGCTTATATTAAGAGTTATTAAGGCTGTAGTCGACTAAAACACACGTCCTGTCGATCAAAAAATGTTACGTATCTCTGTGTATCTGACCCAAACTGCACTCACAAGACGACACCTGCATGAGATTTCAGGCAAAAAGAACTATTTATGTAGAAAAAAATGACTAGAAAACAATGTATTCATATAAAGACAGAGTAAAACTTGTAAATCAAGAGTTAAATCTGGCTTTTTACAGTTAAATATCACATTTTCAGCCCTCACATTTTATTATTTTTATTCATTGTTTTGCGTCGCACCATAACGCCAAAGCAAGTTCCTAGTTTATCAGTTTTGTTCACTGATAATGTCAATAAAACTCAATAGAATGACATGTGTTCCTCAAGACGCAGTGATTAAAATACAATAAGAACAATAATATACTGTATAAGAGCAATATTGAATACTACTCGGTGTTTCCCAAAGGTTTTTGTTTGTCAGACTATGGTGGCACAGATACTTTCTATATTAATACATTTCTTTCATGCAATTTGTGGAGTTTGAATGCCACTTATTACCTCTATTTCATATTTCCACGGTCTTTCTGAACACTTTCTTAATGGCAAGGAGCTACAAAGATTGAGATTTTGTTTCGCCAGGAGTGTTAAACTCAAATTCACAGAGGCCAAAATTAAAAACTGGCACTAAGTCGTGGGCCAAACTAAATATTTACTGAAAAATTTCAACATCTGCATGTTTTCTCTTCTTTCGAGATTTGTAATGTTAAATCTTTTCTTATTAAAATAAACGTTTAATAATAGTTTTGCTTAAACACTGAATCCAGAACAAGCAGAATATAAAATAATAACAAAATCTGATAACACTTTAGTTTAGGGATGACATATTAAGAGCTAAACAAGTTTACTAATTGGCTGTTACTTAGTTATTAGTTGGTATTAATGAAACACTTATTAATGTTTATTAAGATTTCAGTGTATGCGCAAAAACATCTATTGTAATCTCCACTACTTTAATGGGAAGAAAATAGTTAATGGTTTAGTACTTGCAGAATATGGCCTTAGACAAAACTGCATCAAAAGTACTTTATAAATACTAACAAAGATGTAATTAAGCACTTATTATGCATTTTACTATTAACTATATGTGGTCCCTAATGTAAAGTGTTACATACAAAAATAAATGTTAAATAAATAATCTAATAAAGTCTCTATAGTCTATCTGTAGTCAGTGGGCAGCTCTAATACACATTTGATATGATCTCGTGGGCCAAATATAATTATATCACGGGCCAAATTTGGTCCCCGGGCCTGAGTTTGACAGGTCTAGTCCATGTTCTTTTTAGGCTATAGGGGGCCTTTAATGAGAAACCTAACCCTAACTTTGCTACTTAAAAATGTCACTAGCAAGAAAGATTAAGCAATAAACGGTGCAGAAAGGACGCAACATCAGCTCCTTAAAGGAAAATAAGAAAAATAAATAAATACAAAATAATAATAGAATTAAACTGTGAGAATAAGAGCTGTGCCTGTATGTTTGTAAGTTAACAGGAACTGCAGTTGTACACTCACAGTTGATTAATTTAACATGTAAACAATTAAATAATCAGTTTTATTTCTGATCATGGTTCCTCTGAAGACTCAGATCAGATTTTGTGGTTTGTGTGTCATTAATATTAGCTCCAGAAATCCAGTCAGATTTTGTTGTGCATGTAAATAAAGCCACTAATTTCTCCCATTTTGCATCTCCAATAATCTTTTATCTCTTATTTAGTTGGGCTGAGGCAACTAAATAATGATTAAGATAATTGTCAAATAATTTATCAATAAAATTTTGTTACCTTCACAATACAGGCTGCAAAACATGCGCTGTAGAGGCTTTTGTATATTTCCATTTCCAATTTTTGCTCTATCACGATGTCCTCAAGCAGCTTCACTTCACTTCATCAGGCTTTTTACAAAAAACACAGCCTTTTTGCAATTAAAAAAATGGGATCAGTCAAATCAAATGTAAAAATGCAGCTATTCTAAAATAAATTATTCAGAATTTTTAATTAAAATACTGTTTAGTAGTGTTTTTTGGTAAGTTGCTTGGTAAGTGTTACTGTTATGAATGTTTTCAGCATATTTAAGTAGACATATATTAGAAATGTAAGGTAATATTTGAAATGTGATGCTGTTTTTTTTGCTGTAATACCTTGTACGTGTGGAAAATGGACACTTAACAATCTATGCTTAAATAATCTCCAAACGTATAGCCAAATAATACACATTTAAACAAATAATATAAAACTTAATTGTCCATAAATCCATTGTAGATGTTCTCAAAAACCACATAAACCTTTTATAGAGCACTTCTTATTGTAGGGAGCAAAGTACAAACATGGATTGCCAACTAAATGGACGCTTATCCCCCGTTTTTCAAAACATATATTTTTTTTTGTAACCTCTGACCGATGCAATTTGTAGTTATTAAAGCTTTTTTTTTATCGTGCATTTTGATATATTTGGTCTTGTTTACTTACCAAACTTGTCACGCCAAATATTACCCGCGTGGTTTTCTTTCTACTACCTGATTTTCACGCAGTAACCAATCAGAATGCGTTGCCTGGGATCCACGGACCAATAGGATCACGGCATGGGAGGACCCGGAAGTAGTAACAATAATAAAAGAAATTTACGCTTTTTTTTTTTTTATTTATTTATTTTTTGACAGCGTAGTTTCCATTATTAACATCTTATTTATATGTATCTAATAAATTAATGTAAAATATAAAAACAAGGATTATAATTTTTGTCATTTTATTTTGACCAGGCTAATCATGTTTACGTTTACCTGACGTTTACCTCCGAGTAGCGTAATTGCGTAAAATCACTTAACGATGTAGTTTTAAATCCATTATGTAATTAAAACTGAGATATTGTAGTACCAATTCACACACAAAATAATGCAGACAAGAAAAAATCCGTAAAAAGTGGCATCTTTATTAGTTAACAACCTGACAATGTGAAGTCTACTGCATGGAGAGCAAGTAAGCGTAGATCACAGGTCAAAATTAGAGTTAAACTTTTTAAATTCCCAATAAAACTCAACATTTACAACAGTCGCTAGTTTAGAGGAAGAATAAGAATCACCCTTGGTACACAACAAGCATGGATTTTTTTGGAAACCGAACCAAAATCAGGGTTGTAGAACTGAAGCTTCAAGAAAATTAAACATGCCAAATATAACTCAAAAAAGTTTAATTTATAGTAAATCTTTTTTTAAAAACAACTAATTCGTCGTTTATACAAAAAGCAGGGTACATTCCGATGTGTATGAGAGGCAAGGAGCACGGCAACGTCATGCACACACACACAAATTAAACAGAAAAGCAACTGGTAACACAACTGATTTAAATGAACCAAATCATTCAAAATAAAATATATGCTGAAAAGTTAATTATTATAGCAAATGTGGGTGTTAGAAAACAGAACAAGCAATATGATGAACTGATGAACTCATGACAACAATGCATCTACAATTTTATCTTTTATACGCACAGGAATGTTGGACAATTTTATTAAAATACAAAAATAAAATTCAAAAAAGAAGAAGACACCCACAATACAGAACTGTAGTCTGACGAAGGGGTAAAAAGATTCCACGTGGCATTCTTGGCAGTCTACAGCAAGTGACCGGAGTACTGCTTCACACTAGAAAAGAAGACACGGAGAATTATTAAATACAGTTTTGATTCAAATGAGTTTACAATGACATAGTAGGGAAAATTAGACACATTTATGAATCAAAATAGAAGTGGTTTGAGTTAGGTCTGTCACGATACTGAAAGTTTTGCGATGTGGCTGAACTGAAATACAAATATTAATGCGATAATTTAATATAGGGTACATTTTGACTCAATAAATTCAGATATAATAATCAAAAAACATGCTTTAATTCAGTACTGATACGGCCAAATAAAAACAGGGCATTTTGAAATGTGTTGCCAGATATGAGGCTTCAACACTAGAAAAGAAGAGACAGAAAAGATTAGTTTTGATTAAAATGCGCTAACAGTGGCATAGTTAAAAAAAATTAAGACACATTTATGAATCAAAATAGAAGTGGTTTGAGTTAGGTCTGTCACGATACTGAAAGTTTTGTGATATGGCTGAACTGAAATACAAATATTAATGCGATAATTTAATATAGGGTACATTTTGACTCAATAATTTCAGATATAATAATCAAAAAAACATGCTTTAATTCTGTTCTGACATGTCAAAACAAAAACAGGGCATTATGACAAGTGTCAGTGTTGCCAGATATGAGGCTTCAACACTAGAAAAGAAGAGATAAAAAAGATTAGTTTTGATTAAAATGTGCTTACAATGGCATAGTTAAAAATTAAGACACATTTAACAATCAAAATGGACGTGTTTTGAGTTAGGCCTTGTTAGGACTACACGAAAGGAAATAGAAAGTGGAACGTTTTGAGACTTGAGATACAAATATTAATGCGATATTTTATTATAGAGTACATTTTGACTCAACAGTTTTAGTTATGATTTAAAAAAACATGCTTTAATTCACACTGAAACTGTTAAAATAAAAACAGGGCATGTTTATGAAATGTGTCTGTGTTGCCAGATATGAGGCTTCACACTAGAAAAGAAGAGATAGAAATGATTAAATAGTTTTGATTAAAATGGCATTGTTAGAAAATTAGACACAAAATGGAAGTGGTTTGAGTTAGACCTGTCACGATAATTACTATTGCAACTAAAAAGGGCTACACAATGTTAAAAAATAGTTCCTGTATTACCAGATGACATCACAAGGTGGAACTGAGTGTTTTGTTTAAGAGAAAACCTAAAACCACAGCCTAAAAATGCCAGATTTGTGCGTTAACGTGTGAATTAAACAAAACACAACTCCGGGAAACAACATTATAACAACAACATTTCTCTGTAACAGCTTTTTCACATTTTATGAAAGGCTTTAATTCTGCATTTTTAACATTTTGTGCGTTTTGTGTCATTCCCGGTTTGTCCTCCGTGCCTCAGATTTGTGTTTTTGCAAAGACTCATGGGTAAAAAAACAGGGATAGCAGAGCGATTAGGCTACAAATATGGCCGTATGTTTACACAGTCATACCAAATGTGTGTGGGGACTCCTGGGGGTACACAAGCTGTTACTTATGAGTTTGAAAAATATGTAATTGTAGTATTTTCTGTTTTTGTTGAGGAAGGAATTGCTAATATGCTAGTAAACAGATTTATGCTGATAAGCGTCGCTATTACAGAGAATTAAAGAGTATGACACAAAGCTTTCGGAGAATAATTGACGTTTTATACAGTCTCCCATAGCGTTCTGCTCCAGTCAAATGAAGCTCATCGAGGCGGGTGGTCACAGGGGCGAATTTGGAGCCGAATTCAATATTCAGACTTCATTTACGGGCAAAAAAGCAAAATTAAAGCCTCACGATCATGTAGAGCGGGTTAATAAGAGCATTTTAAGATCAAAAATGACAAGGCTCACAGCAGCAGTTACAAAGAAAAAGGGTGATAGTTTTTCAATGTAAAGTGAATTGGAGCCAGAGTCGATGGAGCCGGAAGTACACCCACGCTCACTTCTTATAGGGTTAGCTGTGTCTGTTTATATATACAGTCTATGGGGGATATAAAGTAAAGTAATTTCCATATTATCCTAAAGTTTATCGTGATAAGTCTAGAAAGAGGACATTGATTAGGGATGGGCATTCGATTAAATTTTCTTAATCGGTCGTTGGGAGAAGTAACGATTATCGATTAATGTAATGTATAACGTAATGTATAACGTTTTTATAATAAAATTATCATCATTATCATTATTATCTGCACTTCAAATCTGCATAAATAAATTCAACTTTATGACATATAAACCCTAACCGCTCTAGAGCCACATCAGCCCGTTTGACATTATAATGTGTTAAATGCAGATTTGTGCAAGTCTCACAGAAACAAAACTTAAAACCGCATGGCTAATTTGCATAAACTAAGTGAAGCGGTCAACATCTGTCGGACTAAAGGACATGACTCAGTGGAATACAGGTTAGTGTGACCAGATTTGCGTTTGTCAAAACCAGGACACCGTCCGGGGGGCGGGAGGTGGGGACTCGTCATCGACATTGGGCTACTCTCACCTGGCAAAGCTTTTTAATGTTTTTTGGTGTCCTGGTGAACTTTGAGGTCCCTGACACCGCCACTGAACACCGAAACATATGTACTGCTTTATACACTGTGCACATGGCCTCAGACTTGTCTCGATTGGGACGGAAAGCAGGGAATTTCTTGTACAAGTCATCGTTAAATGCGCATTTACACTTCGGCATGTTGCACGCTGACCGACTGTTTGTGTCTCGCTCCTTCTGAGTGCACAGAGAGCTACGAGAGACGCTCAAGTTTAATGGCCCAATGAAAGATCATGAAAACCTGGACATTTGCATCACTTTATTAAAAAAAAACAAAAAAAAAAACCCCGGGCAGCCAGGACAGGACATGAAAAATGGACGTTTGGTCACCCTACGCTACGCACAGCAAGCTACATTCTGTTTGTCGATTAAAAATGAACGTAATCGACGAAATTCTTAATGATCAGTTATCCATTAATCGACTAATCATGCCCATCCCTAATATTGATCATGTGTTGCATTTTTTCTGTATGAAAAGTGCTCTATAAATAAAGTTTAATTGACTGATTTATTGATGCTTGTTAATATTAGTCCATTGGTCAAATATGGACGTCTTTAAAGGAGTTCGAGGAAAAGTGAAGGGTGCATTGGGGTTAGTCCATATTCAAGCAAGAAAGGCTGCAACAACCAATCGGATTAACAGATCACTGAAATGATTAATGACTCATTTAAGAATCAAAAAGTTATAAAATATAGACTAGCTCAAGAC